TTGGTGGAGGTTATTGGGTTCTCTATGTATAGTATCATATCATCAAGGAATAATGAGAGCTTGATTTCTTCCTTTCCTACCTGAATGCCCTTAATATCTTTTTCTTGCCTAATCGCTATTGCAAGTACTTCCAGTACTATATTGAACAGCAGTGGAGAGAGTGGGCATCCTTGTCTCGTCCCTGACCTTAGGGGGAAGGCTCTCAGTTTTTCCCCATTGAGGATGATGCTTGCTGTAGGCTTGTGGTAGATGGCTTTGATTATGTTGAGGAAGGTCCCCTCTATACCCATTTTGGCTAGAGTTTTCATCATAAAGGGGTGCTGGATCTTGTCAAATGCTTTCTCTGCATCTATTGATATAATCATATGCTTTTTATCTTTTCTTTTGTTGATATGATGGATTATTTTGATTGATTTCCGAATGTTGAACCATCCTTGCATCCCTGGGATGAATCCTACTTGGTCATGGTGTATGATCTTTTTGATGAGTAGTTGGATTCTATTTGCTAGTAGTTTGTTGAGGATCTTTGCATCTGTGTTCATCAGGGATATCGGTCTGTAATTCTCTTTCTTTGTGGTATCTCTGTCTGCTTTTGGTATCAGTGTGATATTTGCTTCGTAGAAACTGTTTGGAAGTGTTTTTGATATTTCAATTTCGTGGAAAAGCTTAAAGAGGATTGGGAGTAAGTCCTCTTTAAAGATTTGGAAGAATTCACTAGTGAATCCATCCGGACAAGGACTTTTGTGCTTGCGGAGACTTTTTATTACCATTTCAATTTCCTTGATGGTGATAGGTCTGTTCAGGTATTCCAGGTCTTCTTGGTTCAGCCTTGGGCGTCTGTAGGAGTCTAGGAATTTATCCATTTCCTCGAGGTTTTGATGTTCCGTGGCATACAGTTTCTCAAAGTACTCCCTGAGGATCCTTTGAGTTTCTGTAGTTTCGGTTGTAATGACCCCCTTTTCATTTCTGATTCGGTTTATTACGGTTTTCACTCTCCCTTTCTTTATGAGTTTTGCTAGAGGCTTATCAATCTTGTTAATTTTCTCGAAGAACCAGCTCTTGGTTTCATTGATCTTTCGGATTGTTTTTTGGGTTTCCATCTCATTAATCTCTGCTCTGAGTTTTATTATTTCCTTTCTCCTGTTCGGGTTGTGCTCCTTTTTTTGGTCCTTCTCCAAGCTCTTAAGCTGTGAGGTTAGGTTACTTATGTGTGCTCGCTCCTCCTTCCTGAGGAATGCTTGTAGAGCTATAAACTTTCCTCTTAACACAGCTTTTGCTGTGTCCCATAAGTTTTGGTAACTCGTGTCCTCATTTTCATTCATTTCTAGGAATCTTTTGATTTCCTCTTTGATTTCCTGTCTAAGCCACTCGTTGTTCAGTAGAGCACTGTTTAATTTCCAGGTGTTTGATTTAGTTTTCTGTTTTTGTATGTGATTTACTTCTAATTTCAGCGCATTATGGTCTGAGAAGATTGTCGATACAATCTCTATCTTCTTAATTTTTTGGAGGCATGTTTTGTGGCTCAGCATGTGGTCTATCTTGGAGAATGTTCCATGTACGCTTGAGAAGAATGTGTATTCAGCTTTTTGTGGATGAAGTGTCCTGTATATATCTACTAAGTCCCTTTCTTCCATTGTTTCCCTCAGATGAAGTATGTCCTTGCTAAGCTTGAGTCTGGTTGATCTATCAAGAGGTGACAAAGCAGTGTTGAAGTCTCCCACTAGTATTGTGTTGCTGTTGATGTCTTTTTCCAAATCTATGAGTAGTTGTTTTAAGTACTTGGCTGGTCTCTCATTAGGTGCATATACATTTATTATTGTAAGTTCTTCCTGTTGTACAGATCCTGTGATCACTAAGAAATGGCCTTCACTGTCTCTTATGAGCTTCCTCACTCTGAAATCGATGTGGTCTGATATTAGGATGGCTACCCCAGCTTTTTTATGGGAGCTGTTTGCCTGTAGGATTGTTTTCCAGCCTTTGACTCTGAGTCTGTGTTTGCTTTGACTATTGAGATGTGTTTCTTGCAGGCAGCAGAATGTTGGGTTCAATTTTCTAATCCATCCTGCCACTCTATGTCTTTTAATTGGTGCGTTTAGCCCATTGACATTGAGAGAGATTATTGTTATGGGATTTTGTCCCATTGTTCTGTTGAAATTTGGTGTATTTGAGGGGCCTTTCTTGCCTTTAAGTAGCCCATTTAGTTGTTCTTGTAACCACGGTTTTGAGTCTATGAAGTTCCTGAGCTGTTGTTTGTCTGTGAAACTGTGTGTTGTTCGTTCTATTATGAATGAGAGTCTCGCTGGGTAAAGTATTTTTGGGGAGGCATTTATTTCATTGAGTTTTTTCACTATGTCCCACCACTGTTTTCGGGCCATAAGGGTTTCATCAGAAAAATCAGCTGTGAATTTTAAGGATGCTCCTTTGTAAGAGATTTCTTTCTTCGATCTTGCTGCTTTCAGAATTTTGTCTCTGTCTAAGGTTTTGGTCATTTTGATCAGAATGTGTCTTGGGGTATTTTTATTCAGATTTCTTCTAGCTGGTACCCTTCGGGCCTCCTGAATATGGTCACAAGTTTTCTTCAGCTCTGGAAACGTTGTAGCAACGATGTCTTTGACAGTTTCTTCTTCATCAAGGTTTTCTTCCTGTCCCTCTGGGACTCCAATAATTCTTATGTTACCCCTCTTGGCTTCATCACGATCTTCTCTTGCCATCTGTTCCCGAATTGTGAGTCTCTTTTCAATTTTCTGCTCTTTTTTGGAGAGTCTCTGAACTTCATCTTCGAGCTCACTGATTCTGTTCTCAGCAGCTGTTACTCTGCTGCTGAGGCCTTCCACTGAGGTTTTCAGTTCGCCTACGAGATTTTTCAGGTCTGACATTTCTGATTGCGTTTTCCTCATTTCTGCCTTCAAATCCTCTTGTCTTCTATTGGCATTGCTTTCCATTGTTTCTTTTAGTTCCCTAAGCATCCTAAGTAGCTCCCTCCTGAATTCCTTGTCAGAGAGGTTGTCTAACACTGCAGTACTGTTGGTGTCATCTGGGCTAGACTCTTCAATAAGAAAGTTTGGTGGGCTTTTGCGTTGCTTTACCATTGTGAAAGCTGTGGTTTAGTCCTTAACATTCACTGTTACTATTCTGCTTGATATGCAGTGTGAGTTAAGATAGGTTTATGAGTTATTGGCTACTGTGTTTCTAGTGACTGAGTTAAACTAGAGAAGTTTCCATCGAAGAAGGTAGCTTATGGTTCCTATGGCATATGAAGTGGGCTAACGCGGCCGCGGCTCCAGAAAGAGTACCTGGTACTGAGCGAGGAGTTGGGAACGTCAATGGAGCTAGCTGTGCATGGGCAGAGAGGGTCCCAGGCACTTGGGGGCGGGCTGTACCTGGTTGGAATAGGAGCCGTTCGCTTGGTTGCCCAGAGCTGGGCCTCCGGGCCCATCCCACGCAGACCAGGGGTAAAACCGGCTTTCTAGGAGGTGGAGCTAGCTGGGCATGCGCACAGAAGGTCCCAGGCCTTTAGGGGCGGGCTGTACCTGGTTGGAATAGGAGCCGTTCGCTTGGTTGCCAAGAGCTGGGCCTCCGGGCCCGTCCCACGCAGCACGTATATGTTTTCTTTCTGGGAAAATTTGGAGAGATGTCATAATTCTTCATTTTGGCACTTGTGCGATTCAGATGGAGTTGTTTTTTTTCTCTATTCTGAAAAGCCTGATTCTTGCTTGGTTTAAAGGAAAACCCAGTAACTGTGTAATTAGCCCAAACCTTCTCATCCTTTGTGTTGTGACCACCTTTTTTGTAATACGGCCTTTTATCCAGAGGATTCATACGTACCGCCACCTGAAAAACCTAGGAAAAATAATGAGTTAGAGACCATATGCAACCAAGAAAACAAGAATCGATCTTTTTTGTCTTTTTCTCTCCTTTTTATTATTTCTGCTTTTTAAAACTCAGTGGATATATTTCTGAGATGGGGAAGAGAAGGACAGCTGTTCCCAGGAAAGAATAAACAGGATCTGGGCTGGAGCACTAGCACAGCAAGAAAGGCATTTGCCTTGCAATCGACTGACCCAGGTTCAATTTCCAGCATTCCGTATGGTCCCCCAGGCACCACCAGGAATCATTCCTGAGTGTAGAGTCAAGAGTAACCCTTGAGCATCGCTGGGTGTGACCCAGAAAGCGAAATAAATAAACAGAATACTTCTGTGGAGAAACCAGCCTGGCAGAGAGGGGAAGATATAATTCACTATTTAGCTATTTCTATCCAAAGAGATTACAGTAAGTAGCTCTCCTGAGGGGCTCCTGTGAGTGGTCCCAAATTTCCTGAGAAGCAAGTGAAAACAAAATATCTTAGATTGTGTCTGTGGAAGCCAGACCCACAAACCATTGGCATGTGTCTGAACCCAGCATTTCCAAAGTGGTGGCCAACACAGGTCACTGATGAGAGTCCCTGAGCACTCGCCCCACAAATTAGGTCCTAGCTGACCAATCTGAGCACCCAGGTGCCTGAGAACATAAGTGTTTCTTGAGCAACAGAGCAGGGAGGGAAGGATTCTGGGGGTGGGGGGGTGGGGGCGTGGGCGTGCTCATCAAGAGCTTCCCTTACTCCCCTAATGTTTCTTCTCTAGAAATAAATGAAAGAAAACCACAGCTCCTGAGTAAGGGAAGGTTCAACTCTTCATGACCACTGTGGGTCCTTAGCTACTCCAGAGAGGGAGCACTGAGAAACAAGTCCCAGTGTCTGTCTTTTCTGACTTCTCAGGCTCCAAGAAAGGCCTGTAAGAGAAACAAGAGAAGGACCCATGGAATGGTCAAAGGTAAGCGGCTGCCACAGCCAGGACCTGAGGTCCCCTCTCCCCTCCTTCCCCTGGGGTTTGCCTCCTGATCCCCAGAGATGGAAAGTGGCAGAGTCATCCCTCAGAAAACACAGCCGGAGGAAGACGCCTGGACAGAACAAGGAACCTTGCCACTATCTGGGTTTCCAGGCGCAGGCCCAGAGAAGTTCGGAAATGGCGCTGCCTGGTGGACTGTGGGTCTGAGTGGACCTGCAGTCCTGGCGAGGTGTTGGGAACATTCCCAGTGGGAGCAAGAGGTTTAGCTGTGCTCACACTCCTCTCCAGGGAGGGTGAGGTGGGGCAATGCTGCTGCCCTTGTTCCAAACTGTTGCCAACATTTGTCCCCTCAGGGGACACTGGAAGGAAAATGAATGGGAAGCAGTTCTTAAGTGAACCTGCACCCCCAGGATAAAACGGCCCAATACTGATAGCACCATGTTGCTGTAGACACTGTCTCTTGGTGTCCACAGTCAGATCCCCCAAATATCTCCCCTAGAGAGAGATTTCAGGGAGACATCCCAGAGCTTCCAGTGTCTCTCTTCACCCTGTGACCCACTCTCCTTATGTGCAGCTTTCAGGTAGTGTATGAGGAAACTGGAAGGGTTTCAGAACATGGCTTTAATTATGCAAAGGTAAGGAATCTTTCTCCGCACCTCTGAGTTACAGGAAAAATTGGAAGGAAAATTGCAAGGACCTTTTCAGAAAAGGTCTTGGATTACCATAAAGACGGGAATGGTCAAATAGCCCCCAAACTGAGGCAAACTCCTAGAAGGATCCCAGTTGTTTATAAAGCACAAGACAGAGTCAGGCCCTACAAACCACCTATTTTTATGGGACAAAGTAACCGAAGGATGGAAAATCGTGGGTAGAGGTGCCAAAAAGAAATATCATTGGAAAATAATTCGATGCAGGATCTAGGGCACAGTGTGTGTCAAATCCAAAGGATGTCCTTACAGGCTCAGCCCATCAACCAATAGAGATTGTGGACTCATATAATATAAGATCGAGAAGGGAGTTTCTGAATCTCCCCACAATGAATGCAAGCAAGAGGGATATAGGAAAATTTTGAAAGCAAGTTAGGAAATGGATGGAAATAAAAGCAAGTGAGACTTGTAAAGATGCTTATAGCTTCAATCTTGTTACTTATAGTGCTCAAACAGATGCTGGGGAAAAAAGCAGCAAATATCATCTCCTCCGAGGGCCGGTTGCTCAAAATAAACAGCAAACAGAAACCACCGGATTTCATCCCACAATTTATGACGGTGCTAGTGGGCCATATTGTAAAGCTTCAGGTGAGACATAGGTGGCTTTTACCTTTCAAGATCCTCAGTCCACAAATATCTTAAAGATTCAAAAGTTCAAACTTCTCCTCAATCAAGAGACTGTCTGTTTCATCCCACCTACCCATTTAGTGGATACTGATTGTGAAGACTGATAGGAAAATGAAGTTAGCCAGAGTCTCTGAGAAACCACCTCTGGCCAGCCCGGAAGACAGGACAATGAGAATAGAAGCCATTGGCTCTCCAGACAGTTTTCTCCAGGTCCTGAAAAGGGCTCTTTCATTGCGGAAGGACCCACAAAATGGGAGGACACACAACCTGGGACAGAGAGCACAGCATGATGCTCATAGGCCCTCAGGATCCATTCTGCCTGGAAAGAGGAGCAAGACCCCTCCCCAGACCTTCCCATATAGCATTGTGAGCCAAATCAGGAAGCATGAAGTGGCCTTGAATGATGGGTGAAGAACTGAACTCAGGAACACCAATTCCCAGGCAATAGAAGATGAGCAGTGCTCAACCTTTTCAAAATTCTCACCAGCATGCAGGACTGCTAGAGGCCACGTTAGGCACCCAGTTTCTGGGGTTAGGACAGGACATAAAAACGGTCAAATTTAGGAATTATTGTTTCAAGAAGTCTCTCCAGATTGTGATTCTGTCCAAGACATTCAGGTTTCTTTTCAAACAGGCTCTTACACATATTGTCAAAGTCTCATAAAATATACAAACTCTATGGTTGCACCAGCAGAAAAGAACTGTGATCTCTTGTTGGCACTGGCAGAGTTTCCTGAGCCTCGGATAAAGGCCCCAGAGCCTGCCAACGAAATAGTACTTCAGGACTGTAAGAGTGGTGTCCGCCTTCATAACAGTGCTTAGGAGCACTTCTCCAAGAGTGTAAGGCTAATGCATATCTAGCTGCAGATGTTTTGGCATCTGAAGGAACAAAGGCTGACCTTCACAGTGCCTCCAGAGAGGACTCACCCATTTCCCAGGCACTTCATGACATCACGTCAAGGAGGAGAAGCAGCCAGGGGTATCAGGAGTTTCCCAAAATTAGTCAAGACAATACCTCCATCTCTCATGAGAAGAAGGATTCTAAGCATCCCCAAAGTGTGCAAATAGGAAACCAATTTTCAGAAAAAAACGATATGTCAAAGAATGAGCTGGCATGATCCAGATCAGTAAGTGGAGGCCTCTGTGACTGAGTCCCAAGATCTGCAAGAGAGACAAGAACCTCTAGAAAATTTATTCAAAAGCAAGTTCAGAGAATTTCTTGAATTCAGTGCTTTTTCCTCATGAACAACAAGAGACCTGAAAACCTGGTGCCCCAATGCACTCCCAAACAAGCAGAAACATGGGAGAACGGGGAAAAGCAATTCACTCACTTCGGAAGCAGAGGCACTAAACAAGGGTGCTTTTGGCAACATTCAAGAGAAAAAAAAAAACCACCCTTCAGCAACCACAGCTGTCATCCAAGTCAAAGCAAGTACAAAGATAAACACACCAAGTATTTACTTACACTACAAGAGAAACCCTTTCTGAGAGTCAAAGGTTATGTACGTGGAAAGTTACCACACTGACATAGATATCCCCAAAATCGATGTCTATTATGACAAGAACATTTTTTTAAAAGGTTCGTTTTGGAAAAATTGATATGAGGACAGTGGCCAAACTCAGTCAGCACAACTCAAGAGAGACAGGAGGCTCAGACCACCACCCACATGGTGAAGAAACTCTTACCACAAAAAGATGCAGCCTCTCATCCAATAGATCAGCAGATTACTGCCACACATGGAAAAGTCCATCAAAAGGACAGATGCATCTATTCTCACTCAAGATACTCCCTTATGTACTAGAGGCTTATCTATGTACTGTGCTCCTCAGTAAGAAACTAAATCTCATGGTATCATGAGATACGGTGGCCTCTGTCTTTGACTTCCTGCTAAGAGTACAGGGTGGGGTCTAGTTTTCCTGAGACCCCGAAGTTCCTTTGAAGGGATGGGGTCACAGAGAACTGCTCTTAAACATTTGAGTCTCTTAACTGCTTACAGCTCTGAAAAGGGGAGACGAAGGATAGGTCCCTGAAACAGGCAGGTGTACTGGGGGAGGGGAGAGTGTGAGTTGATGTGAAAGGCATCCCAATGGAAGTACAAGTGTTGGCTGAGAATCCTTCTGGGATGGATCTGAAGTACAGTAGTCTGCCTCTGTTGGGGGCGTGGTGGGAAGGTAGAGAGCTGACTTGGAGTGTGGTCTTTCAGAGTCGCTGTGGGTGTCGCTGACATCTAGCAGGAACATGCTGACCTAAAGGACTCTGAGTTCCAGCAGACGCTGCGTTTAACTCCTCCCCTGGCTGGTCTTCCACCTGGAATGGACAAAGACTGCTCTTGTCCTGACACGTCCACTCCACGCTGCAGGAGACAAGAGGCACAAGTTCAGCCAGCAGCGTATGGCAGCAACGGGGAGGGTGGAGAAGGGTGAGCAGCAATGAGAACCTGCAGCCCAGAGCCCCTGCCCTGTCCCCACCTGTCCAGGGTCCCTCCACTGCCCCCACATTTCCCTGACACCTTCACTCCGAGGGCTTTTTCCTACTTGGTGTACTATTCAATCCCCTCTTAGATCTCTCCCAGGAAGCTAGCAGCCATGGGGTTACACCACAGGCCCTGGTAAGCAGAAGAACACGAGAAGGGAAGGGGAGACACATTACCTTTGTGGACGTGCACTGAGGCTCCAGGTCCTACCAATTCATTCAGGTCAACTGGAAATGGGAGGATGGGGTCATGTGATGAGGAGAAGAGGCGAGCGCTCTCGCAGGATGTTACCACCATGTCCATCTATGGGAAACCCTGGGAATTGGGTCAAGCTTAGAGTCATCTGAACCCTGCCAAGAGTTATCTCTGAGTCTAGTACCAGGACTAAGACCTGAGCACATTTTGGTTTGCAACCCCTTGAGCTAAGACCATCCCCAACCCTCAGTATGTGCACTTACAAGAACATTTGATTAAGTGTCTTTTTTGTTAAGGGTCTTAATTAAAGGAACTGTACGTGAATGTGCTACTATTGCTAACATGACATTGTAGGTAAGGGCTTTGGTGTCAATATGTGCTTTGGCTAAGAGAGGCTTTGCTATGGGACTTATATCTGGAACCATAGATATTAACAGTCATTTTTCAAAATGTCTTATTGCTAAAAGCACTGATACTGAGTGGAAACTGGATAAGTAATATTTTTGGTACAGATATTTTAAAAAATGTGACTCGTGTGTTCCATTTATTGGTGTTAACGTTTCAGCTCGGAAAAACATATTTATAGAGCTTTTATTTAATTTTTTAAATTTTTTTATTAGTGAAACACCATGAGATACAATTATAGACTTACAAATTTTTGTGCTTGGGTTTCAGTTATACAATGATCAAGTACCCATCCCTCCACCAGCGCCCATGCTTCATCATCACGGGTCCCAGCATCCCTCCCATCCCCATTCCCCCCATCCCAACCTGTCTCTGTCTCAGGGAATTCCCTTTTGTTCTCTCTCTCTCCTTTTGGGTCCTGAGGTTTGCAAGAGAGGCGTAGAGGGGCAATCATGTTTGGTCTATAGTCTATTTTCAGCATGCTTCTCCCACCCTGGGAGGATCCTCCCAACACCCTTTATTTGGTGCTGTCTTCTCTATCTGAGCTTCCTTTTCCCCTAGCACATGTGGTTGGCCTCCAAGACAAAGGGCAAAATTACTGGTACTAATCTCAGCCACTCCTGGGTATGAGTGTCCCCTTTTGCTGCTTTATGTTCCACAGAAAAATGCAGTCTTTCTGTGTCTATCCCGCTCTTTCTGACTCATTTCGCTTAACATGATAGTTTCCATGTAGTAGTACCACTTCTATGTGAATTTCATGACTTCATCTTTTCTAACATCTACATAGTACTCCATTGGCTACAGACCTTTTAATCACGACTTATTCCCTAAAACTAAATGATATGTGAGTAGATGCTAAGAGCACTGTATTTGACATTTTTTACGTGATAGAGCATGGTTTGTATTATAGTCTTTGGAAGTTCTTTTTTCGTACAAAAACAGCTGCAATATTGACATTCCATTTTGGATGTCAAAAGTCAAATTTAATTACACATCCAAATTAGATCTGTAACCAAATTGTAACATTTTTGTTCCACACATTCTTTTATCTGAAATATTTTGGAGTTTGTAGATTTTTTCCATCGATGCTTTTCAATTTTCAAGACACTCCTCTGAATGGGAAGTTTGAGGTGGGAGAAGAATGACTTTAGGGGACTGAAGAGACAGAGTACAGTGAATTGGGCTCTCGTCTGGCCCATGTTGAGCCTAAATTCTATCCCCAATACTCCATGTGGTCCCTGAGATCCATCAGGACTGATCCCTAATCCCTGAGAGGATAGTCAAGAGAAAAGCCCAAGAATCAGTGGATGTGATCCAACACCCTGTACCCAAGAAAAGGGCAGGTTTTTTGGATTACTAAAGAGCCTATAGATCCCCTCAAACATTCACTGCCCATAACCAGACTTCAGTTCTAAGAAGGTGACCTTAAGTCCCCAATAAGATGAACATATGAAGTTTTGTACATCTCACTTCAATCTATATATCCAAGTCCTTTTCATTGAGGAAAATATTCATTTTGTCATAGAGACTAAGAGAGAGATGTTAATACTTGCCAAACATCAGAAGCAGAAAAGATAGTAGTATGTACACTCCAGTATGTACCTTATTCCCAATCATGGCTTGGAAAACTGGAATGATCAAGGCAGCATCATGTAGGATCTCTAAGACAAAATAGCAAATAAGAAAAGAATAAAGGCCTGAAAGTCATACTTTGCACTTACGGACATACTGCTTTTGTTGTCTTGGTTTGGTTTTTCAGTCGATCCCTGCAGAGTTCAGAGTTATTCAGGGCTCTGAACAAAGGATCGACTGGGAAGCTATTTGAGGAACAAGTCGGGGGACTGGGGATCAAAAATTGGCCAGGGACAGGGCGAAACAAGCAGTCCATTTTCTTACTAACCCTTCAGGCACCTGTTTCAGTACCATGCAAAATTTAACTTCCCCTGGGAGATGCCTGCCACAATCCCTTCATGGTATAACTGAAGCTGTCCACAATGTCTCCACAGTTTGAGGCCAGTTCTGAGTCAGGGCGGATGCCTGTAATTTGTCCGTATGAGCCTGGAGTTGTTCAGTGTTACAGCTCCTAGTTAAGAGCTCAAATTGGTCGGATGGCCATGGAAGACAGGAAAGAAAAGGCGTTCCTTGGACAACCCCTCTTACCCACACACACACTCACACACAGAGACACACACACAAACACATGCACACACTGCAACAACCTGTAGCCTCGAACACTCCCTTATAAAGTGCCTGGGTTTATAAATATTCTCTCTCCTTACCCTCACTTGTTTCTCCCATCAGATTGCAACCACCAATCTGGCCACCTCCTCTCAATTAGAGCTTAAGCACTAACAGAAACTCCCAACGGCCACAACTGTCACTCCTTCCTTGCAGTGCCCTCTTTACTCTGCCATTTGATTGCTTCCTGGGATTGGCCAATGTAATGCTTGTGAGGAGCTAACGAAAGATGGGCTCTATCCAGCTCCTGCCATCTCATCTCATTGGACCCACCCTTTATATATCCTCTAACCTGCTCCCTGCTTCATGATTTCATGATTTCACACCATATATATATAGTTACTTACAATCTCTACATGATGTTGCTTTGACGATTCACCATTTCCATATTATATATATATATATATATATATATATATATATATATGTATTCTGCCTTTCAGGAATTTAGTAGCAAGAGTCAGGTAAAAAAATATTTGTATTGCAAGTTATCCATCAGAAATTCAACATTGTAAATATCAATATCGTCAAATTTCCAGTGTATTTCAAGCCAAAGTGCTAATGAGAATGCAAAACTACTTTCATAATTCTGCTTCATTTGACTGGAATGCAGAAAAAGGAACTTGAAAATCTTTAGACCCAGAAAATGAGCACCATAGTTAGTTCAGATCTCACAGTATATTATCTCAGCTTATCCTTCAAAAGTCATATTCAAATTTTACAAGTAGCAAGCTCAGTGAATATTCTCAATCACCTTAAATGAATGGAGGGAAAAGTGGCATTACATCTAATAGAAATTTTACAGCATGCTATCTGAGGTATGATTAAATCCATGAAATTTTTTAATGCACTTAAACCGAGCCATTCTACTCCTGCCCCATTTTTAATATGTGTTGGCAATTAAGCATGACTAATGATGGTAACCGAATCAACTTACCATTAATGATTGAAGATTGCTATAATTCTAATAACTCTGTAGTTTCAAACATTGACCAAATAATTAGTACAGACGATTTGGTGCTGTTTCTGTCAAACTTGGTACAAGGCAGTACTTGCGTGAATGAAGAGACTAATTCTTTTCCTACCCATTATACATTTCCAACTTTTAAACATGAGCTCTCTGGTTCTTCAAATAGCTACATGTGAATACCAATTCAAATTTTATGGGTTGATTATTGTAGCACTGCAGCACTGTCCTCCAGTTGTTCATCGATTTGCTCGAGCGGGCACCAGTAATGTCTCCATTGTGAGACTTGTTGTTACTGTTTTTGGCATAGCAAATCCACCATGGGGAGCTTGACAGACTCTGCTGTGCCGGCAGGATACGCTCAGTGGATTTCTGGGCCCTCTGAGAAGGACGGAGGAATCGAACCCGGGCAGCCCAATGCAAGGCAAATGCCCTACTCCCTGTGCTAACCTTCCAGCCCAGTGTTGATTATTACTGTTATTTATTTATAGAAATCTTACCTTTACTATACTTGATGCTCACTATGTTCAAGTATCTTCATTTTTTAATTAATTTATTAATTTATTTTTTTAATAGTGAGACATCATGAGGTACAGTTGCAGACTTACACTTTTTCACTCTTGGGTTTCAATTATACAATGATCACACACCCATCCCTCCATCAGGGCGCATTTCCCACCACCATGGACCCCAGTATCCCTCCGACGCCCCAGCCCCCATTTCACCCTGCCTCTGTGGCAGGGCATTTCTCTCTCTCTCCTTTTGAGTGCTGTGGTTTACAAAAGAGGCATTGAGTGGCAATCATGTTTGGTCGATAGTCTACTTTCAGCGTGCTTCTCCTATCTTGGGAGGATCCTCCAACCACCCTTTATTTGGTGTTCCCTTCTCTTTCTGAGCTCCCTTTTCCCCTAACATGTGTGGTGGTTCCCAGGTCATTGAGTAAAATTCTTGGTACTAATCTCTGCCATTCTTGGGTGTTAGTTTTCTATTTTTTTACTTTATGTCCCCCAGATGAATGCAATATTTCTACGTCCATCCCTTTCTTTCTGAGTCATTTCGCTTAACATGATACTTTCCATGTAGTACCACTTTTATGTAAATTTCATGACTTCGTCTTTTCTAACAGCTACATAGTACTCCA